TCAAGCGCTATCATTTGCTAGCAACGGCTATTTTAGAGGAACCGGTTTCACACAGTTAGGTGTAAGTAATCAATCCTTTTCGATCGCCTTGTGGATTAAACCTACTTCCTTGAGCGGAGGAACAATTACTCATGTATCTGGTGTATTAAATGGCACAAATTGGTGTATACCACTCATCGGGTTAAGTTCGCTTGGTCGAATTGTGACTCAAGCTTGGAGTGGTGTAGCTGCCGGTATTCTTGGTCCGAGTATGTCTGTAAACTTATGGACACATATAGTTCAAACGTTTAGTGTGACAAATGGTATCACAATGTACATCAATGGCACTTATTATAACTCCACGAAAACATTTAGTTATTCTGCTAGTGGGAAGAAAGATACAATTATTTTAGCCAATTATATAAGCGGCGTCTCGTGTTCTGCAGGACAAGTTGTAGCAGGTCAATATTATGGAGCTATAGATGAGTTTCGCCTCTACTCAAGAGAATTAACAACAACCGACGTCTATGAACTTGCTAATGTGTAATTGGTTGAAAAGTATTTGTGTGTTTGTACATGCTCGATCTACCTATGGAATTTCTGCTTTGGAAAAATATTACGAAATAAAGTGGAGGCGGTTTCGGCATGTTCAATAAGAGGTCACATCGGGAAGTACTTAGCTTGTTTGCAGTTTTCATTCTTTTTCTCCACATACGGATGTTATATATCCTCGTGGAAAAAAATAGTTGCACACAATATTTTTAAGATATTTTCCTTACGAAAACATATTTTTATAAAAGTGACCCAATATTCTGATAGCGCCTAAAATTCTCTATCATCCTATATATTTGCGTCTTGTCTTACATTTATTTGTTGAAAAATAATTTGAGTACAGCGAAGATACCCCCAATTGACAAGTGCCAAAAAGGTGCATTTTATCGCTACATTTTTAGTTTTTTCCACACCATCTGTTCTGAAAGATTTTTTTACAGACCATGAGAAAGAGCACATTCAGAACTACAAAACAAACTGACTTCTCACTTTTGCAACGCTTTTTTACGGAAATAGTAGCAAAAGCAAAAGGTTCAGGTGGAAAAAAATAACAAATTTTCAAAGTTTTCATTTTTTTCGTCTTTCGTACAATCTGCGTAGTTTTCTTGATTGAAGCTCTAAAATTAAGGGTTAGGTATGGTTTTGTAGAGGATTTCGCGGCGCATCTGTTTAAAAAAAGATTAACCTTTGTGTCCTAAAGAAACACGAGAAAAATAGAAAATATTGAGATGCCACACTCATTACAATTTCTGGAAATCTGACGATGAGGGGGCCGTCATTGCACTCAATGTATTTTTCAGCAAATAAATGCAAGACCAGATTTAAATATAAAGAATTGTAGAGAATTGCAAGCGCTATCAGAATATGTGATCATTTTTGTAAAAGTATATTTTCCTAAGGAAAATATTTTAAAAATACTGTGTGCAACTATTTTTTTCCACGAAGATATATATAATCTTTTAATGAGTATTCTCTGCTCCAAATTAAGGTAGTTATATCATCAAAATTCTTTAACTTATACACAATTATTAAACCGCTACAATACACATGCTCTATTTGTTGTTTCTGTTTATCTGTAAATAAGAACCATGTAGCAAATAACCACATGAAATGAGGTAGGATAAACGAAAGAAATAGTTTTCTCCTTAATCGTATTCCATTTTTTGGAATTGTAAAAAACATTATTCCCAGTGCATCAGAAATTTTTCTTATCTTTTTTATTCTTTCGTTTATAAAATTATCCCATCCCATTTTTGTACTGATATTAATACCTAAGTATTTATACGTTTTAACGTATTCTATTTTCTTTCGTTTATACTCTAATTTAGGATGCAATGGTGATACGACATTATGTACTAAAAGTGATTTCGTTTTAGAAATATTTACAGGAAGAATATTGTCATCAGCAAATTTTTCCAATAATTTTAGCACTATTTTTTTTTCTCTCCTCTAATTCTATGACATTAAATGAGAATTTCTTTTCTAAGGATCTATTTAAAATAATAGCTAAATCATCAGCGAATAAGTGTGTTATCCATTGAAAAAAGTATTGTGACAAAAAGTGTACATGAAGGCGAAACAGAGTCACCGCAAGTATTGATCCCTGAGGCGCTCCAACAAACATTCTAATCAATCTTGAAGTAACATTTCCATAGTGAATCGAAAATGATCTATCTTGTAATCAGGAATAGATCCAATGTAACAACGGAATAGGCATATTTAATCCTTGCAGATTAGCGATAAGCGCAGGAAACCACATTTTGTCGAAAGCAGATAAAAATTCCACAAATATTACCAAAACAGGTCGATTAGATGCCGCTATTTGAAGTCTTAGTTCTTCACAAAGAGATATAATACGGGTTTGCAGACGTCTACCTGGAATAAAACCCGATTGTTTGTCTACATAAACATTGTTTTCCGTGCACCATTTTAATATTCTTTGATGTATAATCTTTTCATACCATTTACCTAAATGCGGTAACAGAGAAATTGGACGTAATCTATTTTTCTCTAAGTATAGTCCGTCTTTCGACAAACATGTCACCTTTGCACGTTTACTTTTATCAAAAAATAAACCTTTCTCTGTACACTTATTAAATAAAACTGTCAATCAATCAATCAATCAATTTTATTTTAGTCCATGATGTTAATAAAATGACAGGGTAATGACAAAAGTTCAACAAAGAACTTGTCTAGGTCATCCCCAGTAAAAAACAAAACAAAAAAGAGATATAAAACAAAAACAGTTTGAACAGTAGAAAAAAATGGCACAGTAAATAGAATATGGCTTAGTAACTGTAATTATTCTAAAGTATTTCTCAGGTGTTAGAGCTATTTCTTTGGTTTAAAACTTTTCCACGTCTTTATTACTTCGTTAATTGTTATTTTTTTCAAAGGCATATTAGGCGTATACGCTATCTCATTATAAATTTCTATTGACTTTAAATGCTTTTTATTACAGGTATCATGTTCCGGTTCTCTATAATGTTCTTCATAAAACACGACATATATTGGTTCTTTCTTTCATCAGATTGTTTTTTAAGGCTCATATCCACAGAAAATCGAATCAATAATCATCAAAGAAAAGAGCGTATTACAAAAACGTGACTGAAATAAAGCTTAAAAGTAGTAATGAATGGCAGTATCAGAATTAAGACGAATAAAATTGAAATGAGAGAGATAAGCACTATATTAAAATGAAGATGATGAGAATCAAAAGAATGAATACACATACCGGGAAAAAGTGCATTTTCGGAACGAATTTGTTTTTCTACCCCTTTAGAAATATATTTTCTCACACATCTGTTGCTGACTTAACTCGTGAGAATACTCAGTGACTACGCCTACTCATGAATTTGATGTAACCGTAATCCTTTCTTTTCACGTTGTCGGCTTGAACATACATGTACACACTATCATTCTCCAAATGGGCAGAAAATTACTTGATGTTAAACTTATTTGTTTCGACAGTAGCAGCAAATTAACTTATTATATCCATTAGATACTATAAGCATCATCATTGCCATTTTATTTGATTCGAAGTTATTGTATATATCCGATCACCCAATTGTAGCTGTTTCACCTGCTTCTATCTACCACTTGTCATTTGAATCAGATCGTCTCCCAAATGCAGCTACCACCTAAAAAGAAAGCTTTTACGTAAAACAATGTACCCAGTGACGGGAATGTTGAACAATTACACAAAAATAGTATAAGTTATTTAAAATATTTACCATCGAGCCGAAGCGTCAAAAAAACATCTAGTATCGCCCGATTCTTCTATATTACTAGATTTTTACTCGATTGCAACTACTGTGCAGCAACAGTGGAAATCTAGTAATCGAACGATTACCAGATTTTTTTCTAGTTATAACTATCGATTTATCGCCCGCTAATCGATCGATTTAACTATTGCTAGTTGCACATGCAGACGCATCTAGTTAAAAGTCCCTTTTCCAACTAGTAATCTAGATGGCAACTAGTCGTGTATCGTCCGATTATAGACGAAATGTATCTAGATTTTTCCCATAGAT